ACAGCAGCTTCCCTCTAGTCTTACACTGCTAAATTAGGGACGGCTAGCGCAGATAGCCCTCGTGTAGTCTTTGCGACGAAATTACAAAAACAAACAAACAAACTATACTCACTAATACTGACACGCATGTATTAATCTATATATAATTATGTTATTAAAAATTACACTTTGTTATGTATTATATATGTGTATATTTCAATTTCTGCTGTGAACAGAGCGTACATTGTCCATTTTATAGTTTTGCGCTAAAAATAACAACAACAATATTTCGGTAATGTATACTAGGGGATAAACTCGTGCTTCGTGCACGATGTATATACTGAAATTACTTGACTAATAAAACATTGTTTAGGAAAAAAAATGAAAGAGAAAAGGATATACATAAGATTGAATCCGCGACCTTCCGTATGCAAAGCGTAAGCTGTGCCATATGAGCCGAAGCCCAAAGGTTTTTTTTTTCTTCTCGCATATGTAGCAATAGTAAATGGAATACATATATATATATGAGAAGGGCGTATGTTTTAAATAGATAAATCCTTTAAATAATGATGTTGTTGTATTACGTAGCTGGAATGAAACAAAAACATATTAAACAGAATATGGAATTCTTGTGTTTAGTTTTAAAATAAAGAAGTGTGAAAACATGGAATGACTATAAACGAAATTTAACTCCGTACGCAATATTTTCTTGTATAAATACCTTGTCTTTGTGAATAATCTCCATCTTTGGTTAAGATCTTTAGATTTTTTCTTGATCGAACGCTTGATAAAGTGAAATTATAAAAGTGTTATAAAATAGTTAATGCTTAAAACTGTGCTCTCAAAAAGTATAAAAATTGACTGTCTTCATTTGTTGCTATTTCACTTATTCTTTCAATAATGGTATTAACTTTTTTCTACTCTCCCTTAATGTAGAAATACCACCGTAGAATTAGTCAATGGGAACACTGGTTTTCCAGGTGAATGAGCAAGCATACACGCACAGACTGACTGACACACATTTTTCTTTTAATTACATGTATTTTCTTTGTAAGCATTGTTGAGTGACGTACCATTACTTAAGGTAGATGTATTGTAATATTGAGTTCTTTCCTGTAACACACTGTTTATTTTGTAAATAAGATAAGAACTAGTTAGGTAAAACTTGTTTTTCATTTAGAGTTTGAAGCTGTAACAAATAACTGCTAGTCTAACAAACTAAACATGAAAGTTAGACAAACAAAATCAATAGCAGTTACATGAAGAAAACCAACAGCAGTTAGATAAAAATATCAACAGTAAATGATTAATTTTCTTAGTGCTCTTCTTATACACACGTTCAAATAAAATATATAAATGAAGATCATATGTTGAATGTCATTACATCTAAAAAAAAAACAAGACAACTGAATTCAGTAGTAGCATTTCGGCCATAGACCATGTAAGGATTACGAGTTTCAAAAAACAAGTTTACGACAAAAAGAATTAAAAAAACCTAAAACAGCTTAGCGTTTTACAATATAGACATCTATAAAACTACAGGCCTTCGACATTTTGGAATATTTCGACACTTGTGTCTTTGCTTCATCTTTCGTCGACAAGATTTTCCGCCATGTTGCGGTTCTACCTTCATCATTCGCCTCCGTTGTTTCCAAGCATTCCCGCAGGTGGCGCTACAGGATGTCCAGTCAGACCATCCAGTGACCTTACAGTCTAATACAACCAAATCACTAGTTCTTTCAGAAAAAGCAGGGGATGTCGACAGAGTGTTCACGGAACTCGCAGGAGCTGCTGGTTTAAAGTACATTTAATGAAATAATACAGACACATATTAGTGTTTCATAAACTTGTAAATAGATTAAGACAAAATTTATACTACATAAAATGGATAAATTTCTCCAAATAATTATATATATAGGTATCAGCCTTTCATTTAATATTACAAATTGCAAACTGTTTTGTAAAAAAAAATATCGAAATTTATTATTTCAAATTATCGTACTAATTGCTATAATCATTTATCAGGATTAAATTACGTTACGTTAAAATGATTTTGGAGCCTAAACACTTCGTTATAGTACATATCACCATGTCCTGTAAATCTAGACATTAACCAATAGAAATTCATAGGCACAGCGCTCAACAAATTGACCAGTATATTTTCTTATAGAATAGCATGAACATTCATTTCATTCTTCGTCTGCTTGAGGTATATGATGATTGAACGAATATGCTGAGGAAGCAACTTGTGCACACATAACTTGATTGCTTTTCTAGACGGAGTTCCTTCTTGATTATGTTGCATACTGTTGCCTAGGGTACTTGAAAGATTTTTGATACTGATTTTCGTGTTCGTGGATTTTCACTTTTTACAAGACACCGCTTTTTGCCTACCACCGCTGGGCACAACTTGTAGCAGGTTACTTTCTGGATGGTTCTGGTGCCCCAAATCGATCCACATTTCTTTGTTTTCCAATGTCATTAAGAACAAGGTATATCTCCATCTTGGAAAATCCAGATCTCCGATCTGAATACATCGTTGTGATCTGAGTGTATGAAGATTTTAAGTTGGAAAAGGTTTTACAATCCCTTCCCAAAAGTAATCAGTTCCTGGTGTTGTCAGATTACCTACGACTGCCAAAATGTAAAATCGCGACTTTATAAAAGCTCTTGTTGTCACATGTTGCTGATAGGTATATTCAAAATTTTTTTTTAATATAATGTGTTCAATCATCTGTAGTTTGCAGTATGGGTTCTAAGTATGAATCCAAGGTATAAACACTCAGATTTGATAGAAAGTTAGCAAAAAGAGAATGTTGTTTTTATTTGTATGTTAAATTTGTAATCAGTATATACAATATGAGGCCCAAAAATTAATTATGCAATTTAACAAGCTTAATAATCAATATTTAGTAGATGTCACCAATTTTTTCAGACTACCAACTAATACTTCCCCTTTTGTTGTGCAATATCTAACCGTTGCAGTAGATTATTTCGATTCTCTTTTTGTAGCATTACTTTCGAATTTCTGTTGCACATTTTCAGTTGTATTAATATCGAGGTTTAGGAGTAGCCATTTTGTAACTTATATACCATCAGCTTTTCTTCTCCCTATATCAACTTTTTTCTCGCCCAGTACTTCGTATTCAGCAGGACAGCATGTTTCACATCATTATCCTGCTGAAATATGAAACCAGGGCAATCAAACGTAAATCATTTTTCGTGAAGAATCAAGATATGATACTACTCCCTCATAATACCACGAATTCTGACAAGTTTCCCCCTCGGACAGATAGAAGCATTTTCAAACTGTTATAGACCCACCACCATATCTCCACTGTTTTGTTTGCACAGTTTTGTTTAAATTCCTGATGGACACTTTTCTGCACAAAAACTATCCTAGAGTTGAAGAAAGCTCAATGTTTGTTGTCAGTCCATAGCATAGTGTCCCCCATTTGTTCTTTCAATTGTATTGATTAATTGCAAAGTTTAAATGCTGGACCATATTTTCATTTAAAAAATTATGCATTTTTTTCACGTACTGTTTAGACCTCATTTTTGTTATTCTAGCTTTGTGCATATCTTGTGCTTATGCAATTAGTTTTTTTGGATTTTTACATTTATTTAAAGCCGAAAATCTTCGAATGACTTTAAACTTTTATCTGTATTGAAACGCTTTAATGTTCATTGAACAAGATTGCTTCCACATCGTATTTTTTCAACCGTGGGATACTTCAAACAGCTGGAGAATGAAACGAGTTCGTACTATTCCATACGAAAATATACCAGTTAAGCCACCAGATGCGGCATCCATGGATTTTTGTGCGATCGAACAATTGATACGGGCGATGGGGAACTGTTGTGCTGGTACACTAGATGGTTTATGGAAGGCATGCAGGTAAGAAGCGGTGTGCTGTAGATATGACAGCAGTGGAATCTACGCTGAAGAGCTATTGTTAAGATTCATGGTCCTAGACAGAGCATGACCAGAAGTGGCAACATGGACTTTAACGATGTGGTGAGGCTCCATAATCGTTTTAATATAATGTAGTCAACCTGTGGATAAACAAAGATCAAGCCATAGTACGTACTAAGATATATTCTGTACTACCAGGAAGCAAAATAATATTTATTACAGTTTATTATATATAAACTGATTATATAGAATAAAAGATTAATACGTCTAGTATGAAACAAGATATTATTACTTATATAATAAAAAAATCAAAACTGTTGGCAAGAAAACAAACAACATATCAGTATGTGTGTCATCCTAACATATTCACAGTGGTTATAAGGATTGTTCTGATATAAAACAATACACCATTGTTACTAAAAACCAACATCCACATTATTGGTTAAGAGCAACTTATCAGTACGTGTTTCATTCTAACATATTCCCAGTGCTTATAATGATAGCATGTTAATTATATGCTAACACGAGCTACTATTAAAATAAAATATTTCAGTTAAAATCAACAAGATAATTGTGTAATCAGTTTAGTTGGCATATTATAATGTTACGTTTTGGAATTTGGAGAGAAAAATCTGTTTTCATATTTCTACTAGAATATTTGATCTAGACATAGGTAACTAATTATTTTGATGGCTGGAATGCCAACTACATGATATAATCTTACTTATTACACTCAATGGTTCAGTTGTACTATCTTGTTTTATTTATTTATCATTTTATTCTGTTTTACTAAAAGCAACTACCTTCTCACCACTGGCCATAGGCTGGGAAAAATCGTTTTAAATGTCAGACATTTAGGGCTTGAGCACCCATATATGTTCTTAATGTACATAACTTTTTTCCACACACGAAACTGACGAATCTAATATAGGGTGTACCCCTACATCGCCCTGTGAACCCTATTTCTCCAGATACCCTCATACTAAGGATATGGCCCTCTGTTTCTAGTTGTCTGACTTCTAAATGCGACGCTTTTTTGTATGAAAAGTTGTTTTGAATATGAATTTAACAGCATATTTGTCTTCTGTGTGCAGTTTTATCCTTTCCACATTGTTGTTTGACTTCACCTGTCTTCTGCGTGTGACGCATTTTGTATGTGTGTGTGCGTGAACACAAGCAAACCATTTTATTATTTAACAAGAAGCATAGACTAGAGGGAAGGCAGCTAGTTAACACCAACCACCATCAACATCTGGGCTACCCTTTTTTTTTTACCAACGAATAGCGGGATTGACCGTCACATTATAACGTCGCCACGGCTGAAAGGGCGAGCATGTGCGGTGATCGAACTCGCGACACACAGAATGCCCTAATCACCAGGCCATGCCAGATCATGGCCAGTGGGTCTTCCATTAGTCTTGTTTGTTTGTTTTTAATTATGCACAAAGCTACACAAGGGCTATCTGTGCTCTGCCCACCACGGGTATTGAAACCCGGTTTCTAGCGTTGTAAGTCCGCAGACATACCGCTGTGCCACTGGGGGGCACCATTAGTCTACATACTACATTGTTTCTAATGTATAATAACAAACGCCAGATACATGAAGATAGGTAAGATGACATTTCATGAGAAAGGTTTTTGTTTTAATCCACAACGTCAGAATCAATATCCATGTCCACCGATTTTTATTTAGCTAAAAAATAAATTTCAGAGTTAAAAGTATCATTATATTTATTGTTGAAATAGGATATCGTGTTTCTTTCTGTCTATTTGGGGGAAAGAAATGAAGAACCTGATATCTAGTCGATAAAGCTACTTCGTTCGTTTGAAAAACGAATCGCATGAAGTTGAAAAATGAAAATGATTAACTTAGTCAATGTATGTATGCGATAATTATGTGTATAGAAAATGTTCTTTTTTCACTCTGATATATTTTCTTACAGGAGATGTAGGTTGTCGTTAATGTGTAATCTAACAAAGTAGATGAGTTCCTTGTCTAGAATAACATAATAATGCAACTACATGTAACTTTTTGTGTTATGATCCTAACAACATCATTAAATAAACGAACAATACATTTTTGTTCTACCTTTTGACATCGTCATCTCGCAAAACTGTTTACAATCGGAGTATCTTTTAAAATTGTTTCGATTTCCACGGCAGCCACCATAAATGAACTGTAGACACATTCCTTTCGTGGGATCGAAATACCAGTGGGAAGAATAGCCCCTACAAGGTCCAACCTCTTTAGGCTCGTTACATATCTCTGTCAAAACAGATAGTATTGTAACAACACTTGTGAATAAAATGCTCCCAGGTGTATATCTGAAATAAAAAACACTGTCGGGCGCCTCTCTATGTTACGTAAAATGTAAGTTTAACTTTTCAGATCGTATCTGTTCTGATTGACAAAAAAATCCTGCTTAATTCAGTCTGAGATTTAAAGTTATCAGTTCTGAAACTTATACCATTGCTAAAACTTTAAAACATTATCAGCTATACGTCTTTCACTTGAACTATATTTCTGTTCAAAAGCAACATAAAGAAATAATGTTATAAAAAAAAAGACATGCTTAATGAAAAAATTACCAAAAACGTTATATAAGCTTCAATTGTTTCTAACATATTGTAATAATCATGAAATACAAGAAGATAGGTAAGATGCAAACAACTACTAGGAAAGGTTTCGAATAGGAAGCAGGTAGAGTTGGACTCGAAGGTGGACAGCATTCGCATCCACCCGTTATTTTTGGGATGTAGTATATAAGCACACTAGATGTTTTCTATCTTCATTATTTAGCAAGATAAATTCTCAAAGTTTGCTAAAAAAAATTTGTTAAAATATTCATGCATGCAGTTGTATGTAGATTTAAAGTAGAGCATTAGTCAAGGAAGTGGTTACGTTCCTTTTCCCTAGTTACCTGTTGTTTTGGATCATTTCTCTATTGTATCACGTGCGCTTTCTCAAGGAAATTATTGCTGTAAATTAAGAAGGTAAACAGCGATCTTTTCAAACGGCAGGTCAAGGATTCAAATTCCCTTATTATTTTATTGGAGTAACCAAAAGTGACGTAGGCAGTACACGTATTATTAGAAAAATAGCATTATAGAACTGTGTATATAAATATGTTTACTCAGTTTGGAACAGATTCTTCATCCAGACTTGTAGATTTTTCTGAGAGCTCTCAACACCCAGAAGAGGCGATGTCCTTCATCCATAGACTCGTTGTTTGGATTGCGCTTTTACTGAATTGTGTAAAAAACTACATTTGAAGAACATGTTGATCAACTGAAGTATTTGGATAACTTTTGTCTTTATTTTGAAAAATAAATAATAATATCAAATAATACTGCTGAATAAGTACAGGTCAAAACCTTGTCATTCGATGGATTCAACTAAATGATCTTGAAATCATCATGTTTCCTCAAGTTCAAAATGTTCATTGAAATGCAGTTGTTTGTTTCCCTTGTCGTTATAGTTAAGCCTGCTTACAGAGTTTAACTCTTGAATAAAATAATGAATACTTTAGAAAGTTATCCGACGTAGAGATAAAAAGCAAAATTCAAAATGAAAAACAACAATGCAAATAGGAGTAATATAAATAGCGTTTACCCTATCGGATATGATCTGCAAGATAACAGCAGGTTCAACAGATAATTTATTGTGAAGTTAAACTGATTTTTTTTTAGATTAAAAAAGGAGATTGTACAAAATGTCACGTTGAAACAGTCTTTCTGTAGCGTTGAAATATCTTTTCATCTGTACAGATAGAAATGACCATGAACACGCTATCTTATTGATTCTGTCTGCTATTAGTAAACAAAATATTTTGGGTTTTGGCTTACTTTGAATTTTGCGCGCAGCTACACAAGAGCTATCTGCGCTAGCCTTCCCTAAATTAGCAGTGAAAGACTAGAGGGAAGGCAGCTAGTCATCACCACCACCGCCAACTCTTGGGCTACTGTTTACCAACAAAGAGTGGGATTGACCGTCACATTATAACGCTCCCAAGGTTGAAAGGTAGAGCATGTTTGGTGGGACGGGGATTCGAACCCGCGACTAATCATCTGGCCATGCCGGGCCATTTGTAAAGTAATGTTCAGGTTGTTGCTCAGTTCAGACTTCATATGTTTCTAAGGGTAGTTGAGTATCAGTCTCAGTTAATAGCGAGAAATGGATAATATGTCCTTAGGCGACTATTTAAAAACTGAATCCTCGGTTTGAAAATGTCACAATCTTCAATGGGCATTAAAAGTAGAAGCACATTGTAAATTTAGTCATTTCAGATAGTGACACTGCTATACATATATCAAATAAATATCGTATGACTGAGAGGTGTGTGTACACTTACTTAGGAGGGTTGTGACGAGCGTGAAATGAGAATACCAAAATGTGTATTTACCACACTGAAGCATATGATCATCTAACACACTTAATAAATTACTAAGATTCGTAACACTCTGGATGAAGCCTCCGTATGTATATGATGTAAGCATCTGGAGACTCGACTCTCCCACACTTTCATTTTATAGAACTCATACCTCATGAACTTAAAAGGTGTGGTTTGTGTCAACACTGAGAGGTGCCAAATCGGAAGTCTTTTTGTGGAGGCATTGCAACAGCGAGTAGCGTCTCCTGGGGGGGGGGGAAATGCTTCACATAAAATTTAGAAAAAATGGTCCATCTTTATGCATTTTTGGGAACTTCAGACATTTATTTACATTTGTAAGATTGAGATGATGTTTTCTTCTTTTTGTTAGTGATTAGTATTATATTCGTAACTTACACTTTTGGCATCTTTCAATACCTGCTTGCTGGGCTTGTATTTACTGGCTGAGGAACCTGAGTTAAACTTACATCTTAAAAGGGCACATACTGTGTCATGACCTAAATTAGTCCTGTTCTCTGTTACGACCTTTCTCACCACTGAAAATGTCCTTTCACTCGATGCATTGGAATGTGGTACAACAAACAGACAGTATAACATAACAAAGTATAACAATACCACACAAAATGAGTAAAGATTTACTTTATCCTGGTTGGTACTCTGTGAAGTTGAATGTTGTGACTCTATTCTTTTTGTTAAATTATTTAAAAGGTTTATATCGGGAACTCCCGCCGAAATCGGGAAAGTTGATAGGCCTGGTATCTATTCACTAGATAGCACGAATGAGTGTATTAGGGAAAAAACTTTAGCAATACATCTGAGAAAATTGTGCACGATAAGACGTGTAGCGTGAAAGACGCAAAGGAAATGTGAAGATTCTGTTTTTTAATTCAGGGTTTGGAAATACTAAGTGGTCGAATTAAATGATCCCATTTGCTTAAATGTTGTTTTTGGATTGAAGGCAATTTCTAGATATCTTTATATTAACATTTGCAGACGGCAATAATGAAACATCAAAATATGGTGGTAGCATGGACCCTTTTTAAAAGGACATATAAATAGACCCATTGTTATGATGTAGCGTTCTATGAATAAAGATTAATATATCTTACCTTTTGCATCAAAAAAGTAGAGGGTACAATCTAATCTATCAGCCACACAGGTTGTCTTTTCCATTAACTCAAGGTTGCATTTATTTGTAGCTGCAGGGCTTAGGTATCGTCGCGTGCGGACCTTGATACCCTTACCACACGTTGCTGCACACGGCGACCATTCTGACCACCAGGTTACCGCACATCTTTTGTCAATCTGTCGCAAAGTACAAAACATAATCAGAAAAATGAATGATATTTATGGCGAATTAATAGAGAGCTTACAAATACAATACCATTTATATACCGAATTTCTAGTATTTTCCGTTGATTATTAAGATTGGAATTGAAAAAGAGATTTTAACTTCTATTAGAACAAGTAAGCAAGTAAGTGCTCGTAAATATAAAAACTTGACCTTAACAATCAGAAAATTAATATTTCAGATAGGCATGACTAATATTTGAAATACAAGCACTGAAATACTTTGATATTATATCATTTTATCATTTGTCTTTGGTTTTTCAAAGAAACCTATTGAATTTGTGCGATGGCTGTTGTTTGGTTATGTTTTCACCCCTCTGTGTGTGTTTGTATTTATCAGTTAGATTTCTCAAAAACGGCTGAATGGATTTGAACGAAAATTGGTATACATTTGGTCTATGACCAAACTCAGAGGCGATAAGGTTTTGGAGGATCAAAATCAAAGGTCAAGGTCACGAAAATTTCCCCCCAAAAATCCCTATCTGTTAAAATGGGGACCGATTTTTTCACTCTATTTGTGGTCTATAACTCAGTCAAAAAGGACCGGATTTTGATTAAACTTGGTGGATATATGTAGAATATTATTTCTCATTGTCCTGCCAAAAATTGTCTGTGTTCGTCGATAATGACAGACATACAGACATTTACAATTCATTTATTTATAACTGAAACAAACTGAAGAACGTAGTGGAGATAATGCTGAAAATGAGTGATGGAATTTGTAACAATTTATTTCGAAATGATGAGGTCATCATTCACTAACGATCACAAGTCTATGTATCAGATGGCCAGGTGGTTAGGGCACTCGACTCGCAATCAGTGGGTCGCGTTTTCGAATCCCCGTCACAACAAACATGCTTGCCCTTTCAGTCGTGGGAGCGTTATAAAGTAACGGTCAATCCCACTATTCGTTGTTAAATGAGTAACCCAAGAGTTGGTGGTGGTGACTAGCTGCCTTCCCTTTAGTCTTACACTGCTAAATTAGGGACGGCTAGCGCAGATAGCTCTCGTGTAGCTTTGCGCGAAATTCAAAAACAAACAGACAAATTATATATCAGCCTAATACTGGGATTTGTTAACAGTATGATCTACATTTGGTCAGCTTAGTATTACGCCTTTCTTTACAACCTGTTGACTATTTGTTACTGTTACTTCTTTAACATCCTAAGGTCTATATCGTTTCGATACTGAGAAATCTTTATGTCCTGAAGTCTCTATGTCACCTTGACCAAATATTTCAACTAGATGAGCGCACATGATGTAAAAATGGCCGGATGGAATCATCATGTCTGCAAGAATCACATTTAGCAGAAAGAGATGCGATGTTTGTATTTGTCCCATTCCCCAACAGTGCAGTGCTAAATTCTCTGACTCTGTTTGATGCGTTATGATGTCTACTATAAAATGTCCGCACTCATATGCGAGGTTCAAAGGTCCCTTCATGATTAACAGAGACCACAATGTTCCAGCCAAGTTCCTTCATTATCCCCAATCAATACTCGAAGGGGGGGGGGATATTCGAAAATAAACCCCGTTAGGACACCTGCTCATGGTTCCTGAGCACGTGTGCCATGTTTAGTCTCGATAATTTGTGAGTGGAGGTATGAACAAAGTTTCAAACTTGGTGCCCCCCGAGATCACGAAGAGACCATTAACATAAATTCCGATGCCACATCCTGATTCAACGACCCTGTAAACCTACAACCTTACCTTCATCATGCCTAAATGACCTTCCAGGCGCGTTTTAGCCCCCCCCCCCTCGTGGTTACCCGGAAAGCCTTCGTAAGATCAATATAAGTAAGATTAAGAGATGATATTATCTAGCAATAAACTATCTACTTTTAGTTATGTCGCGTGATGCCGTGATTCGGACAACTGTTTATATTTTGTGTTTTAGGCAGAGTTTCCAGTCCTTCACTAGCTCGCCGCTCTCGTATGTCGTGTCTTTCTGATATATCACAAGGTTTTGGTATCACAACATGACTCAGCAGCTTTTAAGCAAGTATGTACAGAGACTTCAGTGTGTCGCAAAGCCAGAAATCTCACCATCTTCTCCCAGGCCATTAGTTAGTATTGACTCACCATCCAAGAAAGTTCATAAGATATTTTTACTTCTTGATGTTTCAAAAAATAAAATAGTCATAAAATATAAAGCATAATACTATGTTATAGAGTCGTCTTTACTTTTCCAAATTTGAAACAATATATTGCATTCTTGCAAGATTTGATGTGACATGTGATGTTTCCATATTCACATCCATAGAGACTAGGTGCAACCTTACAGATGATCAGCACCCGCAGCTACTAAATGACAGCTTCAGACAAGATCACACATACAAGTTCCCTCCAAGAGATGAGTTCGGAAAAACAAACGCCGTTCACAGATCAGCTGGCTGCAGCAGTACCGATGGCTGGCATACAGAGCAATGCTGGATTTGGCATGCCTTGTGTTCTTTTCGGCCAAGGCATCAAAGGAGAAGCCGGCCTCTTACCTGTTTCACCAAGTCAAAATTCAAGCTGGCTGCCCATGACAATCAGACCAATCAGAAAGCAGCTGCTACCAAGGCATCAGATTTCATAGAAGTCGTTCAGGGAAAGAGGCAAAACATTCTCTAAGACTTTAATATTATGTATACGTCAGAAAATTCCACTCAGAGGTCAGCGGCGTAGCAACACACCCACAACCGATCATGGCAACTTTATTGCTCTTCTGAACTTTTGGCAGAGTTAGGGGACAATATTTTAATCCAGCAATTGGATGTGGGCAGCAAAAATGCGGCATACACGTCAGCCTAGATCCAAAATAAACTGACAGACATTTGTGGCGGGTTCATCCATAATCAGATCCTGGAATGGGTGACGATGTAAAAATTTTCACGTGCAAAGAGCAGCTCAGCCTTGTTCTGAGGTAACTGTAATAACCTTTGTAATAATATTTGAAGATATTGATTCTGACACGTGTTAAACATGCGTTTGATAGACTGGTAAACAATTATTAGTGTATTTGAATAATGTGATTATATTTGACCTATGAAATTAACAAAGCACAACCTGACGTTTGATTATGTTAATTTTTTTTTTTTTGTATTTTCAGGTATGTGGATTCCAAGCAATTGCAGTCTGGTTGTGACATTATTCGTGAGGATCTGGTTGGTTTCTAGAATACAACAATGGTGTAACTGACCAAGCGATTGCAGAGATGATAACTGTCCAGTTGAAAAAGTATGGATTGGATTTGAAGCATCTGCGTGGACAAGCCTATTACGAAGGTAGGAACATGACAAGACAGTTAAGGGGAGCGGCTACTAATATTCTTAAAACTAGCCACATATTATTAATGTGCTGTCCATTGTTTGATACCTTCAATCGTTAAGTCAACAGCAGTTACAAGTAATTTGCATAAATATGGAGAAAGTTACATAGATATTCTAATTTTATATTATACCTGTTTTTACATTCAAAAATTATATATTTTGGTAATAATATTTATATAGATTTAGAATTTTATTACCAATATTCAAGTTAAGATATTCTTTGATTTAATTGTTGCACGTGGAATATGATGACTACTCTGCAGAAAGTGTCCAGCTCCTTTGACGTACATCCTAAATGAAACAACTATTTAAAAGCTGCCACTGAAGACATCCAACCCGATGCTTCCCATAGAAAGCTGAAGGATCTATATATAAGTCGATGGGTGCAGCGGTTTGACCCTTTGGATACCTTCCTTCAGCTATATTCTTCTGTTGTTTGCTGTATGGATAGCATTGTAGAGGGAAAACCTAGGTAATGGTCAGCTGATTCCTTGAATGGTGCCAACAGCTTGCTATTCTCCATCACCATCACTGAGTTCATCATTGCCTTGGTTATCACTAACCCTGCTTTGGGATACCTAAGAGAACTGACATCACGTTTGCAAGCAGAAGCAAAGAATATCGTTGATGCATCTTGTGAAATCGCCACCGTCGTGACAGTTAAGGATGTTCGGGAAGAGATTGACAGCTATTTTGAGCAATGGTATGTATATTTCATGGTAACTGCGATAGTAACATCTAATAATAAGTTCATTAATGCTAATATCTATCAGTCATTGTATTTTCTTATGTTAATGAAGGAGTGCAAAAACTATTTCCTTATCGATTTAGTATTTTAATTAATAAGTATGTGAAGTATAAATCTATTAACACGCTATGCACGACACTTAATATCATCATCTTCTGTGTGGGACAGGTACGGTGAGGCTGAGAGAGTTTGTCAGACAGTGAATGTCACCCCCCCCCTCAAGTCACGAACCTCTGCTAGGCAACACAACCGTACCAAAATCCTAGCAGGTACTCCAGCACAATAATATCGCCGCACCATCGTCATTGACCACATCAGTTCTGAGATGCAGACAAGACTTACACCGATCTACCAGAAATCATTCCAAGGCTTATCTCTCATTCCCAATATCCCGATCACTTGCTGCAGGGTTGAAAGTAAGACTGCACAACTTGGTGGAAATGTATGAGGAGGATCTACCATCTTCTGGGAACATATGCAGCACATTCCCTAATATCCACGTGCTGCTTACAATTCTTTGCACACTACCTGTCACGACTTGCTCAGCAGAAAGGCGTTTCAGTGCTCTCGAGAGGACGAAGACCTGAAGCTGGAGTGAGCCTTCTGCACATCCATAAGGACATCCACATCAATGTGGAAACAATCATAGACATTTTCGCCAGGAAAAATCCACGGGAGATGTAGTTGTCAAACATCCTTGATGTTGAAAAGTGAACGGTTGTTGTATGTCATTAAGCGCAAAGCTTCACAAAGAGCTATCTATGCCCTGCTCACCACGGGTATCGAAACTCGGTTTCTTGCAGTATAAGTTCGCAAACAAACCGCCGTGCCACTGGGGGGGGGGGCTAAGTGAATGGTAACTGCTGTACAGTAAAATAACAGTAAAATAATACATTAGACTATTTTACTTTGGTTTTATTGAAGATTCATCAATGATTGATTTAATAAACACTTAAATTTTATATTTAATCAATTTGTTCTATGAAATAGTATAACAAAAGAATCTCCAAAAATCAATAATTTTAATCAATTTACCACTTGCGTCAAATGGTACATTCTTTAGATACCTTTGACTATCTAAAGTGATCTATTTTCATAATTACTATAATTACTGCAAAATTTTATCTGTAAAACGAGCCTCCATAACTACACTGATAAACTGTTTTCGAAAACTCATAGACAAAGGTGCAATTATGGAAATACCTCCCTCCAAAATCCTTGGAAATATATCAGCTTTTGGATCTACTTAATTTTCTCAGACTGTTTTAAATGTGGATCTTTAATATGTTTATGTAATGTAATTGAGATCTGTCTTCAAGCAACACATTTATTTTGACCTGAGTCAAATTTGCTATAAAATTAAAACCAATTCTGTTTTTATCATTGAAGATCGGCTCATCTGCAAAAGGGTTATTATTTTAACGGCTTTTATTTTCAATGTCATTCAGCAGCTTTTTTATATCCTACTTGATTACTAACACTCATTTATTCTGATAAAATAGAATCTCGTATTTTGCAAGACGAATCTACCAATAAGTTCTCTACTTAGATGAGCTATCGCATCTTGAATACAGTGAAACTTAATTCGTACCTTATTTGTTTGTTAGGTCTAAGCTTTACTTGACTTACCCGGATAGAAATGGTGTGATTCGGATCTTGTTTGACTTAGCTTTCACTTCCCTTAAACCCGGATAGAAATGGTGTGATTCGGATCTTGTTTGACTTAGCTTTCACTTCCCTTAAACCGACTTATCAAGCAAACAATACAAACTTACAACTCAAAGATGATTAATATTTCTCCAAAAACTCACTAGTCTTCTTCCGTCGCATTCAGGTTTTATCCCCATGCACCCTTCTTTCTCTGTTAGATTCAGGTAGCAGAATTTCCTCGCCTTAGAGTGAAGATATTTCCGTTTTCTTGTACGAGATCCCTTACCGCAAGTGACGCTGCAGTCGGACCAGTTATTCCAAGGTGTTGTGTTACAGCTGACATAACAAAAAGAATAATCAGCTATTAAATTGTTGGTTCCAAAATGTCATCCTTAACTCTCTACAAGTTGGTTAGTTTTAGTTTTAACACTGATTTGTTTATGGATCAGTTTAATAAGTGATTTTCTGAGAAGGCAAAAAATGAGGGCACTAAAGTTTATTATAACACTGAACATGCATAACACAGAGATGAACATTAATAGTGCTATTAGGAACTTGTTTAGAAAGGGTGTACACAAGAGATGGAAATGAAAAAGATTCTAGCTTGAATATTCGACGCAATTTTTTAATATACTAGAATTATTAAAACTGATAAACGACAGCTTCAAAGCATTGTAATTTCACTCGAAATCATTTAACAATTGTTATTAATATTATAATCACACGATATCATAGAGACTTTGTAAAATAATTTAGCATGAATTAATCAAAACAGAATACGAAAATAACCCGAAAACTTAAGTTACTTTGAAACAATATTGTACATTTAATGTTTAGTTACGATCAATATTAAAAGATATATATATATATATATTCTTACCCTACACAGTCAATGTCACAGAGCTTCTTCTCTTCCAGCTGATTTAGACATTCCACCTTATTTGCTTTTTGTTCATTCAAGTATTTTCTTCTCCGCACCCGAATTCCATGACCACAGGAGACACTACAAGCGGAGAACTCTGTCCATTTAGTAACAGCACACGCAGCTAGAGAAGATAGGAGACAAAATATATACAGGAGTAGTTTCAAGCAAGTTAGTTTAATGAAAACAATACCAAATACGCAAGAAGAAAAAAAAAGATTTGAAACGTTAAAACATTGTGTTGTAGCACGATCCTTCTCTAACGAATGCTTAACCGTGTTGTCATTTTGTTCTCATAATGTAATAGGTCTGGCAATCTGTGAGTTGTGGATTCGAATCCCCATCCCACCAAACATGCTCCCCCTTTCAGCTGTTGGGGCGTTATAATGTGACGGTTAATCTCACTATTCGTTGGTAAAAGAGTAGCCCAAGAGTTGGCGGTGGGTGGTGATGACTAGCTGCCTTCCCTCTAGTTTTTCACTGCTAAATTAGGGACGGCTAGTGCAGATAGCCCTCGTGTAGCTTTGCGCGAAATTTATAACAAACAAACAAACATAATGTAATGACCAGAAGTGAGCGATTCTAAATCGTACTCTGCTCTTTTTTCATTTCATTCCCAGAAATGCAAGCATGATAAGTACAATATCACGTTATAACATAAAATACGCACAAAAAAGGGATAATTTTTTTTCCAAGGCTGTCCCTAAACACCCACCATTGAGAAAAGTAAAAATTTAAACCCACTCTTTATTTCTTAAGAAACCATTAATTCCCCTTCTAAGCTCCTATAAAGTTCTGGCCTCCACCACTGTTAGAAAAATAAAATTGCCTTAGTTGGAGCCTAATTTGTTTTTCCAAATCTTAAAATCGTGTCCTTCTTGGTATTATCTTCAGGAAATAACACAAATAAATCACTAGCCTTTGTCCTCTTCGTATTATCTTCAGAAAATAACACAAATAAATCACTAGCCTTTGTCCTTTTCGTATTATCTTCAGAATATAACATAAATAAACCACTGTCCTTTGTCCTACGTATCCCTCAAGTAACTTGTAAACTTCATTCGGATCACCTCTTACCTTACTTTTATCAAGAAAAAATGAGTTAAGAGATCTCAACCTATTCCTGTAAAATAACCTTTCCATCCACAGAATCATCCTAGTAACCCTCTTTTACACCCTTTACAATACTCTTTCTTAGATAAGGAGACTAAAACAGTACACAGTATTTCAAGAGAGGCATAACTAGTGATTTTTATAAGGAGATAATTATATCTTTTGACTTGTAATTAACGTGTCTGTATAAAGATACACCCTGGAATATTTTAGCTTTACTGCTAGGAACAAAGTATTGCTTCGATGTCTTGAGTGACTTATCCGCCAATATACCAAAATTCTTTTCTTCAGCTACACTATTAAATTTATTCCCATCTTTATTATACGTGTGATCCAACTTATGATAAACCAAATGCATTGCCTTGCACTTAATATAATAAAATACTATTTGATAAACATTTGTCAAACTTAAAAATTGATCCAAGTCATTATGTAGTAGTACCTCAACATCCTTAGTACGATTAGAAATACTCAAGAGTTTAATGTTACCTGTATATTTACCAGTCATATCCCCTTATCATTATCAATAATGTAAACATGAAAAAGCAATAAAGTACCTATAAGTTTCCCAAATGTTTCCCATATCTTCATGGATGACAATAAATATAAAATGGCCTCTCTCTGATTGGTTCTCTGAGTATTTGGTGTAGAAAACCATTCTCAGTCGCTTCAAGAAATTTCTACTCTTCGCTATTGGACTCTATGCAATTCCAATCACTGTGTCTACAATGAAAGTCTGCCATAATGTATATGGCAAAATCTTCAAAGTTAATATTCAAATTCTCGCGATCAACCTTATGGTTGCATTTTTTCGTGTATATTTAAGATTTTTTTGCCTCCTAAGATGTATGTCGTTCCTAATGTTGTTCACTTACGATTGATGACCAAACCAAACAAGGTGAAGAATTGACTATTTATTTTTAATTAATGTATAGAGAAGTACTGTGCTTAAGAAACGAACTGATTCAGACCAATAAGTAAAGTTCGTAGTAGAATGAACCGATTTTTTTCTTTGATTGGAAAGTTGTTAATCTGTCGTCATCATGAGGCCCTTCGTTTGGATGTCATTTGATTTGATCTTTGTGCAGAAGTAAGACAGAACTTGCTGAGCTGAAGCTATCCCAAAATGTGTTTCAATCTCCCCTGTAGCACCCTTATCAAACGAAAAGTGCGTACTGTTAAAGCTGGAACTCGTCTTGAATATTAGGTTGTCAAGAAATTAATGTCGCGTTTTGGAACATTTTCATTAA